CGTAGGGCTTAACACACGTGCTCTGGATTTCGCTGATCGAAAATGACGGCCGACTACTCGAGTCATGTGAAGGTAATTCGGGTCCGAAAAATCGAGCTTCTGAGTTATTCGGCACAGGTGATATCCTTAGGATATCGTTTCCAACTTCTGGCTGTTTCTTAGGAGGATGGTGAACATTGTCTGGGTGCAGTGGGTACTTGCCGAAGAGTTGTAATGTGCTTGGTTCAACGTCGATAATTGCGTCAGTTTTCGCGTCAAAAACCTGATCATTTGGTGGATTCCACTGACTACATAATGAGGGAAAAGTGTCAGGTTGACAAGGCTCATTGTGAGGTGCTAGCATATTGCCTCAATAACAGGCTAATGAAGTCGGGCGTTCTTCTCAACCCTTCAATGCTCGATGGTGTTGCACCTGTCCCCCTCGGTGAGTTGTTCCTTGCCCCTATGTAGCGCGCAATGTGCTTACACCAATTGGAGCGTTAATCCGTTCGTCTCGAGTGTGAATCGATTTCTCATTGGTCAGCATGTGCGTCGGAGCGGCGCATGTCAATGTTTCGACCAATCAGAATAGAGACCACAGCCATCTGTCTGTCCCTGAAAGGTTCGGAAGTGTCACCCCCGATCAATGACCAGAACTTTCAACTTGCCGAATAGACCAGTAGATAAATGATACTGAGAAATAATGAGGTATGTGCACTGTCACCATTATTGCGCCACCTCCGCCACTTGTACGAAATCAACCACATATGGCATATAATACCTGTCCTACTCTGATTACTGAGCGATAACCCAAATCCACTACACTGAGAAAAGGACTATTTTTAGAGGAGCTATTCCACCTACCCATAAAACAAAACTTCCTTTCTCTAGAAAACCACAGCTTGTAGACAGGCTGCAGCCGTCACTTGTTCCCGGAATTTGGTCTTGTGCCATCTAAGGAGGCGATCAAAATGGCAGTGTGAACTTTACTCCACTGTGACAGATAGAGTTCGACCCAAGGAAGGCAGAAGATATACCCACTCAGAAATTCAAGTAATTTCTTTGGTCCGGTAGGCCCCCTGTGAAATGACGGTACGCGGAGGACAGGGCTGGTTGACCAAGTCTAACATATCTAGTTTCCCCAACATACTAGCACGAGGTGGATTCACCTTTCAGCTATGAATAATTACAGTGAATTATGTCTAAATCTCATTCGGTCTATTTCATTATACTCATCTCCTTAGTATATGCAATCAGCATGTCTGTGAGTATTCAGGGGTCCGGACCTTCTTAACGAAGAGACAGAAATGTGAGGTGGTAATAGGCGATGTTATCGGTGCAGACAGAAAAATGGCTACTTCCATAATTACACTCTTTTGCATTTTGTTTTGGAACTCTCCGGAATCCCAACTGTATCTCTCTTTTGTGGCGTTCTTCCTCATAGAAGAGTTTACAGCAACTTTATGAGTAGTGTTTCACGTCTAAAAGCAGATAAAATGTCTGCTTGGTCGCGTGGATCGGTCAGAAAATAAGCTATGTATCGCCAAGACCAACTACTGTCTCAAAAGACTTTCTGTGTACTCACTCAAATTCGTCAGCTCAGATTCGTGCTGCCAACAAATTCGTAGGTTCTACCACTGAGTCTATACAGCTTAGTACAGTTTTGTCTACTATAGTTTCTCCGTATTAAGCAATCCATTGGGGACCTAAAAAAGTTTGTCTTTCACGTCTACCACCCGATGCGTGCTACTACTAACATAATATTGACGGTTGTAGCAGCTGTGCTCAACGTTCTTCAAATTCTCAGAGAATGCGGAAGAAGATGGCAATAAATAAACAAAATAACTAAATAAATAAATAGTCGTTCAGCGCGACTCCCATGCTACTCGAAGGAAGCATCAGAGTTGATATACCGTCAAGCCTAGATTGGAGCAGTGGAGGTGCCGGGGTTTGGTTCGAGCCACGAACCATCCGGTTAGCACGTCCACACCCTAGTCGCTAAACCACCTCAAGCCAACTGTGAAGATAGCGATATTGGAATTCTTCTGGAGAGATAGAGCGCTAAGATGTATACAGCTCTGTCTCGGGTTTGTTCTTCTGGAGGATTAAAGCACTGCTGTTATCTCAAACGTATCTTTGTACACGATAAGTCTTAGAAAGTCTGATGGAACGCACTTATGAAGTAAGTGAATGCACAAGCGACAGGCTTTTGTAATGAGACCGGCCATTCACACACGCGAGCCCACAATGAATACTTCCTTCAGGTATTACGTCCTTGTACTGAGGCCTAGGACGAGGCTTTTAATGTTAGGTGGACAAACACTAAGGAGTTCTTATGAGAGGAACTCGATCAACCTTTATCGACCATTGAATCTGAATAGGCTGTGTTCCGTTTCGTTCTGCAAAAGTAACGGACGATTAGGGCTCTTCTTGAAGGTCATACGCAATGGACGAGCAACTTGAACAATCTTTGGCAAAGTAACTTCGTTCAAGCTGTCGTCATGGCTCGTTTATGATCGTCCCAAGTAGCGCTGTCTAAGTGACAAGCACGAATGGTTCCAATGAATTATGGTCAAATTCACCGTGCCAAAACGGTTTCATACTCCATAATTCCCATGAGTCAGTTAAGTCGATTTATAAATCATGTGTCGGTCCAACACAAATGCGACACCGTTCATCAACACGTGACCTACCTGATGGGTCAACACCTGAAGCGTCCAGGTTAATGGTTCCGCGACACGTAAATCGCATAGCAACTCACAAACGTGTTCCAGAACGACAATTTATTCCAATAAGAAACGTGACGGGAATTCAAAATGACCGAGTAAAGTTTGAGGGGAACCACAGACAAGTGTGATCTAGTCAGAGTATTCATCGGACTTTTACTTTTTACATTTGTAACCATAAACTTCACGCGAAAAAGCCTTGAGCAAACTCCGATAATTATGGTCGAGTGGTTGAGGAACATTGCACAGATGTTTCCTTGTGCCACTACTGAGCCGGTCAATACGTAACCACGTGACGTGAATCCTGCGATTAAAGGATGAGCGGTGCTATGCCCTGTCGAAGTGCGAGCCATTCCGCTCCTAATCGAAGAGTTTAACGTTAAAACTACTAACTGAGCGGTCGCGGGTTAGAGACGGGACGAAATCTACTCACAATACCATCAGCCAACCCATTCTTGGTCATGGGGATAAAATGGTATATTCCTAGGTTATGATAGTTTTTCTACGTTTACTGGAATCTCATGAAAACATAGTTCGTTCGAAATCTCTACTTATTTCGACTTTAAGGCTAACACTCTTATGGGACAAAACAATCAGTGAATAACATTTGTGTTCATCTCCGGCTTTGTACCTTGTCTACCTCCACGCCTGAAGTACTTAATTGCTCTCCCCTCATAACTTCGACACTTTTGCAAACCTCGATAAGTATAATCAACGAGTCACCCGAGAATCAAAAGTCCATCTTCAAGGCTGCAGTCATTCGGTCAACTGAGGCTGGACAAAATGAGCGAACATGGGAAGTCAAAACTTTCAGGGACAGATTTCAGGTTCGTGGCATTTTTTGATCCACCCCACTATAAGTTCGTGGGTAACGGTTGGGCGCAGCAATGTATTGACCAATTAGCGGTTTAACAGATGACCGTTGCATCCACATTTCGCAGTTCGGGAAGCAGATGGCCGGTCAAATAGCGCTGTTTTTCTTCTGGTTTCATACACTCTGGGAAAATGGAGTGCGATAACAGGTGCGATAGCTGTTATTGGGCGCTGACTACTAGGCGCGAAAATCGACACGAGATTTCGCAAACATTCGGGAAGATCCATAGCTCCAGTAAGTTTGGGGAAGGACATTTGAGGTAAGCCATGAACAGCTGGTTAATAATACACATCGAGGCCGCGCCCTTTGTGATGGAAACGGAAAAACACGTACTTACCACAGGATATTATTGTTTGCTATAAATGACTAAGGGTATATGGGAATTCGTCGGAGGGCATGTTTGAAATATTCAGGTTATATGGCGCTGTTTTTTGTTTCTAATATGTTCTATCTCATCTACTTTTTGGGGAGGAATTTACCAATTAGGTTGATGTTGATCTTTTAAGATCCTTGTGAAGAGCCTAAGTGCATTTTGGGATTAGCCATACACTGCTTCTGTCATTACCTTGTCTAATTGCTATTTCTATTTGACTTGATTCGAACCAGAGGATAGTGAGAAGTAAGGACTGTCCACCCGTCCGGGGCAAGATGGGACAAGTGGTTAGAGAGCGAATTTACTGACCGGAAGGTCCGTGGTTCAAACCTGACCTCTGCCTCTCGGCTTTCCCCTTTCTAGGCTTGGGCAACCTGGCAGTATCTCAGCCCTCGTGCTTCCTTCGGGTGACATGGCAGTTAGGCGCCGGAAAGGTGCTTCAGCTGGACGATTTTTTTTAAACAGGAATCATCAGACACGATGACTTCTCACGAAGACGCTTGCAGACAAACGCCATCAGGCGAACCGAACACACGGGATCACTTCAATTCGGTCTTCGACCTCTTCAGTTTCAGTCTAACAAAATTTGAGGACAGCACTTGGATCACACTTTCGGCTGACGAAAATTGGAAAGAAGAGTTTCAGTCGAACTACCTGAGATTCGTTTTTCAGCGCCATCACCAGCAGCACCACTAACCCAGTATCCAAACACGTATTGGGCATGAAACATGATTGGCTGGGAGGTGGTGATCAAACATACCAGACGAGACCTAAATAGGATGGATTGGTAGTGGGTGCTGCTTGCACAAAGTATAGGTGAAGCGAGTCCCATTAGTTAAACCTAACCCGTGGGTGTGCTCATTACAGAAACGATCTCACAAAAACGCATGTACTTTCTCGTTGCATTCAATGGACTGGGCAACACCAGGGTGCACGACTTGAATATGCGGTATTTGAGGAGACGCACCACTCTTCCATGTATAACCACAGTGTTGACCAGAATGGCTCTTAACTCTACACAGACACGTTTCCTTGACTCTTGATAAGAATGGAACGGCTGCGCAGTGCTATTCAGTGTGCAACAAATGTGTCCACGTTTGGAAATCTCCAAAAGACCTTCATAAACATTCTGCTTCTTACAGAACAAGGTGAGTTCCCTTGACAAATTGGGTAGCTGCCAGTGGAGCGTACCGGAGCCACGCGAAGTGAGTGTATCATGGACAAGGAGATTTCTCTTCCTCCGTTATTCAGACATCTTTCCAACTATGAATGGGAAGGATTTACTCATTTCAAAGTCCGAACTGTGGATACAGACTGTTTGCACCTTTCAAGCATGTACGAGACGAGGTGGTGTTGGCAAAAATGCCTCATATCCTGCAGTCATCCAGTTCTGGGTTTATCAGCTGTTGATGATTAGAGTACAGATTTTTACGGTTCACAAAATGGTTTAGTGTGAAAACTCTATCACGCTATCGTGATTGCAATTTCAGTTATTTTGAAAAAACCCAGCAGGTTTGCATCTCAGTGAATTTAAGGAATACCCTTTGCACAAATCGGAATCACGTACGCCCTTACCAAAAAGTTGTCCCACTTAGTTGAAAAGCGGTCCTATGGCCACTAAAGGAGTGGCGTTCTGTAGGGGGAAGACGCACGGGCATCCACGGCGTCATTTCCCCCCATCCTCCCAACGAGCTAAGGTGGCGAAGTGTGGTAGTAAACTTTGTAACACTTCCAGGAGCAAAACGTGCCACCAGTTACTTTCCGATCGTGATCGTGTTCCCGTCCGACAGAGTATCTCATCGCTACCGCGTAGGTGAGTACGTGTATGTCGATAAAGACAAACACTGTGCACTGGGTAAACACTATAATTCCAGAAGGCTGGCCGTTTTAGCTCCCGTTGACAGGTAAACTGAGACCGATGCGATGAATTTTGTTACTGTTGAACAGTTCTCACGAGAAACGGTGCGCTAGGATGAAAGCTGGGTGTAGTCAAACTGGATGAAGACTGAATAATGTGGGCTTTTCCGGAAGATCTCATCTTTTTCCAAAAAGAATGCAAATGAAGCAAAAGCTGTATGCGTATATGTTCGCTGCCCGAATCAGCACATTGTAAACAATTTCCTTGTCTACATGAGATAACGCAAAAGATTTTTTACCAAGTGTAGAATAGTGGGAATGTCCGCATTTGCTGCAAGATACATCAGAATTTCAAGAACCTTGGTGTTTGCGGTCTAAGCTCTTTGGACCGATTCATTTGTACCGCAGTTGTTCCTAAACTGGAGTCTAACCTGAACGAGGGAGCACGACAATGATTTTATTTATCACCTGTACTTTTTTCCAGCTATGCCATCAACTAAATGATGGGTAAAGCTCTCAGAGGCTAGAGAGGTGTGCGAGTTACAACAGCCACTTAGATATGCGACCTGGAATACAGCGGGCGACAGTTTGAGTCCTACAAAACTAGATATCCAAATCAGTCGGATGCTGGAGGGATTCCAAGCCACCATTCATCGTAGGAAACTCCGAAATTGAAATTCTGCTTATGTGTAAATACCCGGCTCCGCCGCCAAACAAAGGATGGCTTCAGGATGCGCATGAAGGATTACTGAGGAGTGTCTCATGTCGTAGGATGAAGATTACGATTAGCATCGATTTTCGCCTTCATCGACTTCCTACCCATCTTCCATGCTATTACGTGCGTGCGAGAATGAGGCCATGCAATGCGTGAATATACACAAACCAGGATTCGACAGACTGTGGTACTCATCTGATTCGATCGGGACTCCGACAGTATGGCCTTAGTATACCATAGCTGACTCTAAACAGAGTCTACTGGAATTAGCGAATATACACTCATCTGCAAACTAATTTGGTTCCTTTGAGAGACTCACCTGTAACCCAGCTGAATCTCTCGTTTATGATGTTCTCAGGCAACTGAATGTGCTGCACCAGGCCGCCTCATGTTCCAGTCGCTACGATATTTGAAACATCGCGATACATGTATATTTGTAATGTACTACTCATAAGGATGGATTTTCAGCAACCTTATGAGTAGTACATTACAATGAGTCTACTGCAGTCTCATTGGTATGTATGTACTCAACGAATCGGGCGATAAACTCCTCGTCGAAGTTGGCGACTGCTTCTTTTTGGTGCCTGTTCACTGTGTGTGACATGAGAAAAAGACTGGATAGCGATTTTGCAAATTTTACCGCAGACTGTCTGTAGTGAACAGCTCTGGTGAGCTAGAACCATGTGGCCATTTCACCTCTCAGGTAGTCATACTAAAACAAAACAAACACAAATAGTGGCAATCGGAGAGCCGAAACGTTGGTCATTCCTACAAAGGGTTGTTGTACGGAAGGCGGAGATACCGTGAAAGAAGAGTGCAACTGGGAACTGAAAGTGGATCTACCTTACAGGATTGCTTGCTATGCCAAAAAGAAAGGTACTCATGTATTACGCAGCTTCATTGGTTCATGATGGATGCGGAAGTCGAACTATTCAAGTGACAATATAGAGCTGTCAGACTTGCTTCAGTTCCATATGCTGTTTTTTCCGTTTTTTTTAATTCCGGCAAGTTGACTAGTACCTCACCCAGTCGGCCATCAGTTCAACATTCGGGGTTCTCTGAATGAATCGCTTCTTTTCTTGTACCAAAGCATATTTTGATCACACTTTGCCTTGCAGCTCATCTAGATAAGTTTGTTTTGCGGTTCGCCTTTTTCTAGGAGGACACTGGCCACTTTGGTTTGGGCATTCTGGTTTGACATGGGCAAACCATCCGTGAAAATACTAGCGATTTTCGATGTATCCGCCCGTCAGATCCACATTTCGAAGTTACCTCATATCGGTCGTCCAGAGCGGTCACTCATTCATGCACACTACTCCCCCGGCAATCTGCAGACTGTTGTGAATGGATAAGCAAATTAGCCGGAAAGACATGCGATCCCGGAACAAGTGCTTCACCGAAACATTTACACACTCCCCCCACCCAGCATGCTCCACTGGGCTCGCTGATCACACACAGGTCAAAATAACAATCATTTGCGGGTATCTGTTACAAACAGAACCGAACGCCTCTGGTCTCTTGCAACTCAAGAAGGAGGTTTTGATGGAATCGGTGGCGGAAATGAGGTGGGGGGCTAGGGCCAAGCAGCGCGGTCGACATGTCACAGACCCAGATTGGTACCCGTTTCCTTAATATGGAGCTAAATTGCCGAGCGCGTTTTTCCACCAAGATCTTGCATCGAATGCAATTTGATATCAGATGACCGGAGCAATTACAACGAGTCGGACGATTGTGCGTTTAGCTAACATATACAGGTAATCACCGAGTCATTGATAATCTGTGTCAGAATCAAGGAATCAGGCAATAGATTAGTTCAAGTTCCGGGAAGCAGAGATTGTTGAAAGCGATCTTTTCGGCTCATAGTTGACTCGTTTTGTCTTTTGTGAGGTGGTACCACATGATCATGAGTACCTAGTCCAAAACAGCCATAGGAAAATCAGCCTGTTTAACGAAGAATCGAACACTTGTTTCATTGGGATCTGTTCCATACGTAGCGCTAGTGGGTGATCCAATTTTAGGCAGATTATACAAAGTGAGCAGATCATATTGGTGGTATCAACCAACCAAATGAATACGCTTCAGTTCAGTGTTTCCTGACACCAACACTCATCCAACAGTCAGCTGTGCTGGCAGACGGCGTGAAAGTCTGTGGAATAATTCGCTACCTAACTGCAGACTGTCTGGTAAAGCCAGCAGCTGGACATGAATACCATCAGGAGGGTCTATCCATGATGAGGACCCTCAGATGGTCCCTTAAAGTACATCTCAATAGCAAGCTCCCTCGTGGAACAGACCATCTGGTGTTTGTTCTTCGAGGTAATCTGTCAATGTGAGACGAAAATGGAAGTGCACTCCTTAATAAACGAGCCCTTAAAAGAGATTGCTTTCGTTTAATGCGGCTTCTCAACATCAAGGTCTAATAAAGTTGTTTGGCCCCTTCAAAGCGATTGCAGGGACCAACCAAAGTTAACCTCCACCAAAATGTGACGGAGAGTAAAGCACAAGTGTAGTGACTTGTGGGGTGGTCTCTGAAGGGCTGGGAGTAAAAATAGTTAAAAATCATGGTATGAGACCTCCGACCACCTCGGAACAGGATAGTTCCGCGTGATTCCTAATCTCCATAATTGATTTCAGAATGCACGAAGGTCGTCTGCTCATAAATCATGTCGTGTTCCTTGTTGGGAGCCACGAAAATGTTCAGAGCAAATTTAGTTAGAAGTTCGGAGGAGACCTATCGGATGTCATCGATTGCAAGCGGACAGAATAGTCCTTAAATGAACGGATATTGTTGGATAAGAAGCATATTGGAGAGAGGCTTTTTATCAAACCTATCTGAAAAGATGACTCCCCAATCGGTTTCAAACGTTTCCCAATTGATTGAGGGACCATTCTATTTCACTTCCTTGATAAACGCTATTCTTAAGCCTTGCTCTAAATATAAATTTTTAGCATCTTTGTGGAAGGATTATTCCACTGACAGTTGATCTTAACACGAAAAAGTACTCCGTCGCAGCTAAGTTTGCTAGACTGATTTTTCATCTACCTTCCTGCCGTGATTGGTTAGACGACGCAACAGCATGTATCCTGTAACGTCTAGTTCAGGAAATGCCATCAGGAACGCTCTAATTTTCTTCAGCTTCTCGGAGTATATAGGACTTGGGACAACGAAATCCGAGATGCTAAACTGACTGCAATCGAGAACGTGAGCTTCGGCTGAAATGCGAATCAATTTAGGTCCATTTTCTGTGTAAACTGCGCCGAAAATATTTGGAATGCTATGGATTATCGAATCAGTTATGGGGGCATAAATGTGGTTATCACTGAAACATGCACGTCAGGCATGTTTTTGACCAATTTCTGAATAAATACGCTCATTTGCAAATCAATTCTGTTTTCACGAGATACTCAACTGAATCTCCCGTTTATGATATTCTACAACTGAATGTGCTGCACACAGGCCACCGCATGATTCATTTGGCACGATATTCAAGATATCGCAGTATATTCATATTTTCATTGGGGAAACTACTCACAAGGTTGCTGAAAACCCTTCGACAGCCCACGACCGGTTTCGCCCTTCTTGGGGCTCATCAGGTAGGCATTGTCGAAGAGTGAGTGGTTTCCTTCATGAAAATATACTGCGATATCTTGAATATCGTGCCAAATGAATCATGCGGTGGCCTGTGTGCAGCACATTCAGTTGTAGAATATCGTAAACGAGAGATTCAGTACAATGAAAATCAAATTGATTTGCAAAGGAGTGTATTTTTCGAAAACAGTCCAATTTGGGTTCAAGTGGAACATAAGGTTGACGGAAACTCGGGGATCGCACCTACTTGATGAGGCCCAAGAAGAACGAAACCGGTCATGGGCTGTCGAAGAGTTTTCAGCAACCTTGTGTGTAGTGTCCTTTATGAAAATTGTGAATCTCGATTCATGAACCATGTGAAAGACAGTCAGTTGTGTAAACCTTTCTCACTAGTGAGTAATACAGATTCGGTGGCTTACTTCAAAGTCGTCATGCTGCTTTTTCATTTAAGCTGTGAATTGCTTATGTGTGCTTTCAATGGTTGTCTGGTTGTCCATTGTGGTGTCTAAATCGTTTTACGCAGCTCAGTTCACCATGACTGTTACAGGCGCAATATAAAACATAATTTTTATCGTATTGCCTGTTGTGTTTTTTTTGAAATCGAAATATCAACTGCTGGATTAACGGTTAATACAGAGAACGAAGTATGCCTAGATTCTTAGCAGACTTATAAAGACTGGCAGACTTGGTTCCAGCGGTGACATGGACTTCGAGCTGTGGTCGACAAACTGTTTGGACAATCAGTAAAAAAGTAATAACTTGCAGAAAAGGCACAAAGGGGTGTAGTCCAAGAATACCCCACCGACCACTGTCCGCTGTGTCAAAGAAGCTTGAACAACTATTCTATATAAACCAATTTTATCACGAGATTCCGGGACAGTCTGCGGTAGAAGCACATGCAAAAGTCGGTCGTTGGTAAGGTGGCCGTTGGTCTGTTTGCTGAGCTTGATAAATGGTTTTCAACTGGTTTACTTGTCACTTAATGTGTTATTTTTAGTGCGCTCTGAGATCAAGAGGCGAAATCTGTCTGATGCCTAGTGGTCGATTAGGCTTGAAGGTTAACAGGTGCAATTATTTCCGTGGACTCAAACCAATTCGCTTTTCGTGGGGGGTCTACTAATGGAAGTACTACTATAATAGTGTGTTTTTAAAGTTCTAAGTCAAAAAATAACTATATTTTTACAACGCATGTACAACCAGTCGTTTATCAAACTTCACCTCTCAAGCTCTCAAGCTGAACAAAGCCTCGTAACACATTAACTTGGCTCTCTGTTTAGTCCCGGGGTGAAATGTGCTTAATAAACCTATTAGAGAGTTTTCTTCCAACACTACTGAGCCTGTCTTGGGCTTTTGTGGATAACAAAAGTAAGTACACTTCACTGGCTTACCAATTTACAAGTGACTTTAACGTGGGGCACATGCCATTCTGTTCATGCCGGACTCTGAATCTGTCGGTTTTGTTAAATGAAGATACGGGTCCAAAATCATTACCGGATTTACAAATTGCATTTGTCCCACCCACAACTACGCTACCGTTAATATTTTCAGATCATTCTATCGGTCTTCATAAAATACGGTGTTCCATTGGATACGCTTCCGCCAAGAGAGCTTATCCCAAGCTAGGACCATTTTAATTGACCTTCTTCACAAGTGGTCTACTGGTGCATGCGTACCTTCGTGGAACCCATAGACCACATCATGGTCCACGTAGCCCTGCCGATAGTTTGGTTATTTAGGCCCCTTTACCTAGACTCTGAATGTGCCGAATTCGGAAAGCCACCCATTTGGCTTCTGTCTTTTCAATAATAAATGGTTATTATAAACTTGTTTATCGAATACAGTCACATCCGAAAAGTTAATTTTAA